TCCAAACCTAAGAACATCAAAAGTTAACACAAGGTATCGACACCCAAATGAAGTGTCGGCACTATACTCGTAGCGGGGATTCTGCCATCTTTTGCATTCTCATCAAATCTCCCTGTTCAGATCAACAAACCATCGCCCGTCACACCCACTAACCCGCAAGACATTGATCATGCATTAACTACAGCTGAAATCCACTACAATCAATGGTTGCTCAATAAAGCCTTTATGAGTCCCCATTATACAGCAGTTCAAACCATCGAAGCAAAAAACATAGACAGACCTTCCAAATATCATCAATACCATCCCCTCCCGCAGAAAATAACCTTATTTAACCTCAAGTTAAAACATTTTGTTAATTCTGTTAGCTGATTGTAAGTTCTATTAGTTGACTGTTAGTTCTATTAGCTGACTATTAATTTTGTTAATTGACTGTTAGCATTTCGTTAACGAAATTAACAAATAAAATCAAATTTAATTATATTTCTATTAATTTGAATGTTAATTTATTTTATGGTTATGTTTTCTATTTAATATAAAAAAATTTTAAATTATCTTATATATTTAATAATATTAAAACCGATCAATCTAATTGAACTATATCAATTCAATTTAAGTTGAATTAGTTTAGTTATCACATAATAGTAAATTGAATTAGTTAAAAAAATATTAAAATCCAAACCGAATAACACTATAAATACCTCTATCACCATTAATGACATAAAATTTCTTAAACATCAACTTGATATAAAAACTAAATATATCACCATTAATGCCAACAATTTAAATATGATTTGGTAATAAGTTTCTCTCAATGAAAGAGATTTTGTATTCAAGATATATGAAAGATGAAGAATAGTTATCTCTAATTATACAATTTAAAATAAAAAATATATGGAAAATAATTGATTTACCATCTGGTTCAACACACTTTACAACACAGTCATTAAGAAACTATTATTTTCAAATTTGAATTCATAGCAAGAAAATTTTCGAAAGCAAATTTTAATAATTGAATCGGAATGTATTGTGTAATGTATTTAACCAAAAGATGTACCAATTATTATCCAAAATATATATTATAAAAGATCCATTTACATAAAAATTTTACATACTACACCTATACAAATCTTAATAATTTATTTCTCAAGAGATTTCACACTTAGAAGAATATCACTTATTAAAAGATGGAAGTAGGGGGAAGAATCCTTCCCAAATAGCTTCCTCACAATAAAAATAGTAAAACTTTCACACTATTTTTTTTTTTTTTTGAGTAAATAGAAGATATAGGAACAGAGCACACCACAATTTAAAAACTAGTCAACTTTCACACTAATTTAAAAACCAAAAATAAAAAAAAAAATTTAATTCCTGCTTTGTTCTTCATGGTTGATCGAAAGAATTACATAATTTTAAAGGATAACTTTTTACGGGAGACTTTTTTCGTCTATTGTTTTCTTAATGTAGAGTAGAGTTGCTTATTTTAGCGATACCTTTTTTGTGAATAATAATAATAATAATTGTTTGAGTATAAGAAATAGAGGAATGCTAAGGGCAGTCGCTCTTCGTCACTTGCTCTATCACCCTCCACGTTACGCTGCCACGTAGTCACCGAATTTGAAATCTAAATTGGGAACGGACTACAGTCGGTTCTTTATTTTATTTCTCCTTTTCATTTCCCCATTTTTCTCTCCTGCAT